CCCCTGAACCTGGAATTGCAGTTGTGAGCCACTCAGCTTGGGAGCTAGGAACCTTACTTAAGTCATCTGCAAAAATAGTACTCACTGTTAACCACTGGGCCATCTCTCCAGCTCCTCTCCCCTTCTTGTATTGAGCCAGGAATTAAAGGCGTGAGATCCTAGCACCATGCTCCACTCATTTGGTTGGTTGGTTGGTTTTGGTTTTTTGAGACAGGGTTTCTTTTTCTTTCCTTCGTCCCTCCCTCCCTCCCTCCCTCCCTTCCTCCCTCTCTCTCTAACTCCCTCCCTACCTCCCTCTCTCCCTCTCTCTCTCTCCCTCCTTCCCTTCCTTCCTTCCTTCTTTCTTTTGTTTTTTTTTTCTTTTTTTTTAAATGTTTGTTTATTATGTATACAGTGTTCTGCCTACATATATGCCTGCAGGCCAGAAGAGGGCACCAGATCTCATTACAGATGCTGTGAGCCACCATGTGGTTGCTGGTAATTGAACTCAGGACCTCTGGAAGAGCAAACAGCTAGTACTCTTAACCAGTGAGCATCTCTCCAGCCCCCTTTTAAACTTATTTATTTTATTTTATATGCATTGGTGTTTTGCCTGCATGTATGTCTGTGTAAGGGTATTGGGTCTCCTGGAACTGGAGTCACAGACAGTTGTGGGTGCTGGGAATTGAACCCCATCCTCTGAAAAAGCAGGCAGTGTTCTTAACCACTGAGCCGCTGTCTCTCCAGCCCTGAGACATGGTTTCCCTGTGTAGCCCTGGCTGTCCTGGAACTCGTTCTGTAGACCAGTCTGGCCTCGAACTCAGAGATCTGCCTGCCTCTGCCTCTGTAGTGCTGGGATTAAAGTTGTGCGCCACCACCGCTGAGTCATGCTACACTTTTAAAACACTTCACTTTTTTGTTAGCATACAAATAAATTCATGTGTCCCAGCCTGACCTTAAACTCACTATGGAACCCAAGGATGATCTTTAGCTTCTGATTCCCTGCTTCCATGTTCCAAGTGTTGGGATTACAGGTTTGTGATTCCACGTTCCATTTATCAAATTCTGGGGATAAACCCAGGGTTTTGTGTGTGGTAAACCAGAACTCCAACACAGTACTTCACCCCACCCCTGCACTGTGGTGTCTTCCTTCATACATATCTATCAGCATGCTTTCTTCTTAATTGCCCTCCCTGGCACTCACTCTCTCTTTGCTGACTCCCTTCCTTCTCACCAAATAGCCTCACTTGATATATACATATGTGTACGTGTACATATATGTATGCATGTGTGTATATGTATGTGTGCATGTGTGTATGTGTATGTATTCACCATGAGACACCATGACCACAGCAGCTCTTATAAAGGAAAACTTTAACTGAGGTGGCGGCTTACAGTCAGAGGTTAGTCCATCATCACCATGGCAGGGAGCATGGAAGCGCACAGCAGACTTGGTGCTGGCTACGTCTTGATACGCAGGGAACAGAAAGTGAACTAAGGCACTGGCTGTGGCTTGGGCATATATGAGACCTCAAAGCCCACCCCCAAAGTGACACACTTCCTTCAACAAGGGCATACCTACTCCAACAAAGCCACACATCCTAATAGCGCCACTCCCTATGAGCTTATGAGGGCCAGTTACATTCAGACTCCCACAATCTTGTTCTCTCCTTTTGACATCCCTAGCTCCCTAGCACCCATTCAAAAAGCTGCATATGGCAACATCCCACCCACCGGAGTGACGGAACAGAGACAGGAGGCTCCCTGAAGCTTGACAGCAACTCAACAGAAGTGATAAGCTAAATAAAGTTTCAGTGAGAGACCCTGTCTCAAAAATAAGACAAGTGATAAAGACACACAGCATCAACCTCTAGTCTACACACACACACACACACACACACACACACACACACACACACACCACACCACACCAATAGTAAGAAAAATAAATCTGCATTCTGTATATAAGGGAAAATGCATGATATTTTATTTTCTGAATCTGGCTTTTTCACACTTACTGGTCTCTTGCTCCTTCCATATTCCTGCAAATGTTATAATTTCATTTTTCTTTACAGTTGAATAAATATGTTATAAAAGCTGTATTTTCTCTCTTTGTAATATTGGTTATTACATGTTTAAATTTTAGTTTGTGTGTATTCATGTGAGGGCTCTCATCCTTGTCTCAAAGAGGACAACTTGCAAGAGTCAGCTCTATCCCTCTACCATGTGGGCCCCAGAGATCAGGCTGTCAAGCTTGGAGGCAAGAACCTTTTCTATCTCCCCTGTCCTGAACCACATCCTTTTCATCCACTCATTTGTGGCTAGACATTTAGGCTGGTTCTGTGTTGTACATAGTGCACCAACAGACATGGATGGGCAGGTATCTCACTTGCATGCTGACTTAGGGCCCTTTGGGTTTATGTCAAGGAGTGGTATAGCTGAGTCATATAGTAGTTGTAGTTCTACTTTTAGTTTCTTGAGAGACCTCTGTACTGATTCCACTAGTGTCTGCACCAGTTTACCCTCCCACCAACAGTGTATAAGGGTTCCTTTGTCCCTCACGTCCTTGGCAGCATTTAAATTTGTTTTCTTGATAGCATTCCTGACTAGGATGAGATGGAATTTCAAGTCGTTTTTAATTAGCATTTCCTGACAGCTAAGGGTGTTGAATTTTTTTTCAGATATTCATTGGCCAAACTATTTATTCCTTTGAGTGCTTTCTTTTTAAGAAAAATTATATGAGCCTGGTGGTAGTGGTGATGGTGGTGGTGGTGGTGATGGTGGTGGTGGTGCACGCCTTTAATCCCAGCACTCAGGAGGCAGAGGCGGAGAGATCTCTGTGAGTTCGAGGCCCACCTGATCTACAAAGCTACACAGAGAAACTCTGTCTCGAAAAACAAAAACATTATCTATTGTTTTTTTGAGACAAGATTTCTCTGTGTAGACCTGTCTGTCCTGGAACTCACTCTGTAGACCAGGCTGGCCTTGAACTCAGAGATCTACCTGCTTCTACCTCTCGAGTGCTGAGATTAAAGGTGTGCACCACCACTGCCCAGCTAAAAATTATTTATATTTTTGTGTGGTTTGCCTGCAAGTATGCCTGGTGCCCAGGGAGGCCAGAATTTGGTGTTGGATCTCTTGGATCTGGAGTAATCCATGCGGGTCCTGGGGGTTGGACAGGAGCCCTCCTGGGTAGCAAATGATGCTTTTAACCACTGAGCCTGTCTTTCCAGTTCCTCCTCTGATACTTTGTATCCACAGGATTTGTCTTCCAGTGACTTGGGGAGATCTTAGTGATTCTAGGCATTATTCTCCTGTCAGGTATATGGCTGCCAAAGATTTTCCTCTAACTCTCTAAGCCATCTTCACTCTGCTGGTTTCCTTTTCTGAGTTTTTGTTTGCTTTTGAGACAGCGTTTCCCTCTGTCGCTCAGGCTGACCTTGAATTTGCTATGTATCTAAGGTTGGTCTCAAACTCACGACCCTCCTGCTTCAGCCTCAGAAATGTTGAGATTATACATGCGTGCAATTCCCCTTAGGCTAATTGGCTCTTCCGAAACAAAGCTGTGATCCACAAACAAACATCTCAGGAGATAACTTTCAGGAGTTGGCTCTCTCCCAGCACGTGGGCTCTGGGGACTGAACTCAGGTTGTCCGGTTGCCTTTAACTCTCCCCTCCCCGAGCCATCTCATCAGGGCCCTCTGATTTCTTGTTTTAGTTTGGGCCCCTGCCCATGGAATGGTGCCATTCACATTCAGACCATATCTTCCCACCCAAGCTAAACCTCTATGGAAAGATCCTCACAGACAATGCCCAGAGGTGTGTCTCCTGGGTGGTTTTACATTGCAGCAGGCTGGCAATGAAGATTAACCACCATAACCAATAATAAATTACTTAGATTTCCTTTGCCCATGAAATAGCTTAACCTGTCTCATCTCACTCTAGTCTCAAGATGCCCAGAAATGAGGGCTCTGCAGGAACAGGAATTAAGTATAGCAGTCAAAAGTGTCCGTTTCGAGAGCTGGGGGCCTAGCTCAGTAGGAGTACCTAGAATCCACCATTGAAGAGCTGGAGCATGGCTCAGCATGGCTACCCTTGCTTTGCACACAAAGCCTCTATCTAGGTTTGACTCAAACTGAGAGCAAACATAACTGTCAGTTCAGGGAAGCTAATTTTAGAAAGCTACAATCTTCATCTTTTTTTATTTTTGCATGTCTATGTTATGTGAGTATGGCTACATGTGTTACAGTATACAGCAAAGGACTTCAGATATCAGTCTTCACCTTCCACTTTGAGACAGGATTTCTTGTTTTTTTGTTTGTTTGTTTGTTTTTTGTTTTTCGAGACAGGGTTTCTCAGTGTAGCTTAGGAGCCTATCCTGGCACTTGCTCTGGAGACCAGGCTGGCCTTGAACTCACAGAAATCTGCCTGCCTCTGCCTCCCCTGTGCTGGGATTAATGGCGAATGCCACCAACGCCACCAATGCCCGGTTCTTGCCGGTTTATGCCAGGGTGGCTAACTCACTGGCCAGAGGATCCTCCTGTCTGGTGCTCATCTCCCTAGAGAATCGTGGGAATTAGATTTGAGTACTGAGTGCCTGGTGTGAAATGGATCCTGTTTATGACTGTGTGTGGGGCTCGTGCTTTTCCCATTGAGCATCTCCCCGACCTTCTCCATCTTAACTCTGTGGTTACTAGGGGATGAACCTGGTGCCCAACCCCGTGCTGCGCACCTAGGTAACACTAGTCACAATTCCCCCATTGAGTCATACCACAACCCACTTCCTTCACCTTCAAACCTTCTCTATTCCCAAGCCTTATCCACCCCAGCTGCAGTCAGCTTGGTAGATGAGTCTATTCTCTAGTCTTCCCGTGAGCACGCTGTAACTGAGCTCAACTGTAAGTCAACAAATTTGACCCATGTCACACTGTGACCCAGTGTGGGTTCTTTTCCTGTGCCTAAGTACTTGTAGTTTCCTACTGTTCCTACTCAAGCACACACAGAATTATTATACGCGGAAGCCTGGCACCAACACAACTTGATTCTTTTATTGTACAAGACAAAGAGGATTCATTTCTTGGGCTCGTTTACCGTCCTCTAGGCTGAGGTAACATATTTTTTCTTACAAGGCTCTGACAACAGGTCCATATGAGAACAAGAGTCCTATGAACTAGCAGCAACCTCAGCCACATGACGCCCGGATGTGTGTGCTCCCAGGAGTTGGTGTATGACAGTCTGGCTTCACTCCATCTACTTAGGCGTGACCCTGAAGACCCGGATGTGGATGGCCGAGTTGTTCCGGATCCTGGTCAGTGGCTCTCGAGAGTCAATCTCTGGTTCCAGCTCATCCACCAGCTCCACGGTGGAGGTGTTGGCAGCCACCTGCAGGGACCCAAAGCTGCCCGCCTGCAGCTGCAGGGCGATGTTGATGGCGCGGTTAATGGCCAGACCCAAGCCGTGGATGTAGATCTCGGCGCAGGCGCTCTGCCCCCTGCTGCCTCCGTCCAGCAGCTTTTGGCAGCGGGCAAGCTGGGCCTTAAAGTCCGTCTTCATGTTGACATAAATGTCATTGGGCCTCCGGGGCAGGCGGTGGGGAAGTCGCTTCCGGAGGGTGTACTCCACGGGGTCCAGCTCGGCCTCGACGGCGCCGCGGGGCTCCCTGTTCTCGGCCATGCTGAGTGCTGGCGTGGGGGACAATGACCGGGCGGTCCCTCCGGGCGGCCGGCAGGGGGCGCCCCCGCCCCCCACCGC